CCTGATGGTACTACATTAGCATCTGGTAGCGATGATACGACGATCCGTTTTTGGGATGTTAAGACAGGAGAAGAAATCTTAATGTCAGATTATCAATATAAAATCATTTTAGCATAATTTTAAACTCCAATTTTTAATAGCAACATGATCGAAAAAAGTGGTATTAATTATCAATTATTATTTAGTTTCATCGATTACCACAGTTCTTCTGATATCACAATAGCTTATTTTTCAATCTTATGGAGCTCTAATTTTTAGAGGAGAATTTAGTAATCAATTGGGCATCGACTTGAGAACATTATTTAAACAAAGAGGAAGTATCATTTTAGAGAACGATATGAAATTATATAGACGATGAAAATTTATTAATATTAATCATATATAATATATTATCATTTTTCAGCATCAACTCTTGAGAAATAAAACAAATAGATTGAAGAAATAGACACTTTATGATGTAAGTTAAAATGCAAACTAAATTCAATAAAAAAATTTAAGAAAGACTTATTGCAGTAAATATAGGTCAGGTTTTAGAAATCAATTTTGAAGATGTTAGTTTTACTTATAGTATTTTATTGTCCCTAAAGAAAACCGAAATTAAATTTATAGCTCATTTCCGAAATTCTCAATTCGTAAAATAAGGGTGGAACCGAAATAGTTTTTCATTCACAAAAATCGGTACAGTACCTGCATAGTTTTTTCAATCACCAATATCGGTACGGTACCTGCATAGTTTATTCATTCACCAATATCTGTGCGATACCACCAAAAAAAGGTTTATGGGTATAAATTCCTAGTTAGCAAGCCAAAAAAAGGGTTTATGTATATCCCCTGGCTGAGGTTGATTTTACTTGTCTTGAAGCAAAATCAACCTAGTCAACGAGAAGGCAACGAGTCCCGGTCCCTACAGGAAGACCTTCTGCGTTTACCCAATCTTTTAGCCTAGATCTCCCGTCTAGCCGTTGCGGTGCAAATGGTTTTGGATACTATATATATTCTATTTATAATAAAATTGCGTTTACCCAATCTTTTAGCCTAGATCTTCCGTCTAGCCGTTGCGGCGTGGAAGCCC